GCTCTCTCACATTCCTCCTCGCTTCTTTAAATCCAAGAGCCATGCTCATCTGGGGAATCGGCAACTCCGCTTTTCTTACGGCCGAACCAAGAGGACGGAGCCGCACCAAACAGCAGTCGCGCATTGCCTGCACAACGGCCTCCCTGCGAGTCTGAAATCAACCGCTCCAGAGACTCTCCTCTACTGTAAGCACGGAAACACAGCACAGAAACTACCACCGGCAACAGCGAGAATCATAAACAGGGATAGGAATGTGGGAGGAGGAATAGGCTGTGGATGATGGAATGGGGAGGATGTCCGAGGCTGGGTGAGTTGCAGCACCGGCCATTCATACTCCGAGCAGTCGTCTGATGGATTGTATGAGACTGACGGACAGCAGGAAGATGGGCAGACAGAAGGACGTACAGAAGTAAAGATGTCTGCAAGTTGAGGCAGCGGGACAGAAGCAGATCGCCCCTGCCTTTCTAAAAGGATGCTTTTTTGACTTCCCACACTACCCAACTGCCCCAGGTGGACCCCCACCCAAGAACTAGCCATGTCCCTCCCTGCTTAGCCAGAGAGGTCCCGCCACCTGCTCAGGCAGAGACAGACAATCGGATAACTTCTCAAGAACCTTTCGCCCTGGAGAAACAGAGTTCTCAAGAATTGCTGCCTTGCACAAGCAACTCATCCCGGGAAAATCAGACCAAAGATTCATCCGTTGGGAAAACCAAAAAGTCGGATCATTTTTTCAGCAGGCAGAAGTTGCTTCACAAGAAGAGTTAGGACCTATGAGACACTCACACTTTTTCTCCGAAGACTTCGAAAACAGGTTACGTGTGCCTGGCCCAAGATGAAAGCAGAAGGAAACAACATCTGCGAATGCCCTAGGGGAAATTATGCCCTTATTGCAACAAATCCCCTCCAACTTCCTCAGATTTGGGTTCCAGATGTGGGAACACAGGTGAGATTTACAACTGGCTCCAGACCCCAATGAAGTATGGAGGTGGAGCAAAGGAAGCACCGTGGCCTTGTTACTTTGCTAGGATCAGGGAACTCTCAGATCCGGATTTCACCACCTAGTTACACACCAACATGGTGTCCACAGGATATGGTCAAAAAAGTCAAGATGGTGACCACCACAGCGTGATCAAAGCCTCACTCATTTTTATGTGCATCATGAAAGTTCCACACTAGCACGTTTTACGTGTGACTGAAGGTCCACATGGAAGTTCAATCCCACCACTGGGGCCACCCTCTTGACTTTTTTGACCACACTCTGCAGAAACCCAGCACACCAACTAGTCTTCCCGACAAATTATTTCCCTGCCTCTCCCCTCCCCCACTTCCCATTGCAACTGGGGCGTGAGCAAAGCCAGCTGTTGTTACACAATTGTCACTCAGATCATTTGCATCGAGATAAAAGTGCCGTGCATCGCATGGGGTGTTTGCAAGGCATTTAAGACGCAGGCTGATATTAACATTATTAAGCGTGATTAAAAGACAGCGTCGTGAGACAGCTAATTAATTGCTCTACATGACAGCTCCGCAAGGGAAGCTTAAGTGGGCCAAGGGAGAGGCAGCAGTGCTTGGTCATGAGACGGCGTTTAGCAGCTTGGCTTGGTGGCGTACACAAGCCACTTAGTCTTTTTGGCATGCCTCAGTTGCCCAATCTGTCAAATGTAGGTTATGTGGCTGCGGCCTGACCTCCCATGGAGAAGGGCGATGTTCAGTCATGATCGCCCCACCCACAGGCATCTTCCAAACCCTGGCGTGAAGGCTCAGCTGATCAAAAGGATCCGTGAGATGAAGGGCGAGGAGACTCCTGGGCACGGCCTGTTCCCTCCCACCTGGCTTGCTTTTGAGCAAACCCTCAAACAGCTGGCACCATTGCTAAACCATATTCCCTGACACATCTCAACTGCAACAGGTCCACCAGCATCACACAGTAAACGGATGGCCTGATGAAGATCTTTCGTTTTGGAAGTTCAGCAGAAACGTAGCATGGGGATGGCTTATCTTGACAACTTCTAGGAACCTCTTGGTCACACACGGTCCATCTGACCTATCTAAGGGAGCGCAGAAGGAGACACACTAGGAATCTGGACTTCTTTACACCTGAAGGACCTTCTGCTTCTCAGTCATGGTAACGAGGTGCAACCTCTTTTCTCAAAGACAGTCTACCATCAGCTATGACATTTGAGAGCAACAGACACTGCCATCATCCTGGCTGGTGATTTGCTCCAGAGTCATCTGCAAGGCCACTGTTGGAAACTGGGGAGCAGAGCACACAAAAGCCCCGGTTCCCACAATGCAACTTTTGACTATTGCAGAGACTGGAAGATTTGCAGCGTGCACTGCTAGAGCGCGTGTTCCCACATTGCAACTTCACGGCCTGCTTCGGTACTCAGACACGGATCCCGGCGTGCGTGTGTCAGAATTCCTAGCAGAAACGGGTCTGAACTTAAGCAGCTCCTGCAATATTTCCCCCCTTTTTCCTTTATTCCACACGCAACAGAAGCTCTAGTGCAACACGTTAGAGCAGTATTTCT